TATGCCGCGCTGATTCACAATTCCGACATCGTGCAATCCGCTTGCGCATCACAATTCCTTCTGCCCCTGGCTCCTACTCCCAGTCTCACACGCAAAACCCATTCGTCTAACCAAATGCACGATCACATACATTCCGCAAAGACACCGCCGGGCGCCACGAACTGCACAACCCACCTGCAACTGGACCCAATAGATTACCCACGCCAGCAACGAAGCCTTACCTTTGTCAACATCACAACGAGGAAGCCATTCTCTGCCACCTTGTTATCAGCCATGGTTGTCTCGTCTTTCAGAACTTTCCCTTGATGAATGAGAAGTTGCTGCGCGCAAGGGAAGGCATCCTTTCCTTGCAACTCTTCTATCTTCCTCTTCACGGAGCTGACCTGTATGCCACACACATCATCTCGCACTTCATGCACCACATCACCCTCGCAATCAATCCTCCCCATCCTTGCACGCTCACACACGCACACGCACACGCACGCACAGACTACTACCAAAACCAGCCTACGACAACGCAGGTTACTGGGAAATTACTACAAAGGCACTCGAACATCATCCAGATTTCATCAGCGCCAGCCATGTCCCAAAACCTGGATGCATAGCAAATATTTTCGACTAATCGCCCAAATCATGGGCATTCATTCAACCAGACCGCGCATTACGTGGGGATTCATCAGCCGCGGAGCTACCTCGCCCACGTCTGCAATGCTTGTACACGTTACTAACTAGCTGTCCAGAAATCTCTCCTTACCCTAGCTTGTCACACGCGCTCCAAATCACACACCCAGAACAATACCACATGCTCTCGCTCCCCTGTTCTACACGAACAACCCCCTGGAATTTCAAACCCACGCGCCCTCGTGGGAAACAAAAACCGGATGTGCGCGATCATGCACGAATCAGCAGCAGTCCAACAACCACATCTTCTGCGATCAAACCAGAGTGCACGCAAAAGAGAGCAGCCCGCTCACGACCGCCCTAGCCATAATCCCACACCTCTATGCTAACCCCGTCCTGGGCCCTTTAATGCCGTGATGAACTGCATCATCGCGCACACGAGTAGCACAACACGCTCCACACACTAACACCATGCACTATGCAGGACGCACCAACATAGATGCCAGAAGTACTGAAACGACCAACAATTTGGAACACAAAAGGCTACGACAATATCCCAGTTCAAGCTCGAAGCAGCCCCTCGCACCCACGCATCCACAAGCACCCGACGCCCCAACTAGCTCTAGCTATTCCACCACAGACGCGGGAAGCGTCAGAGAGAACGTAGCCCACACCGCAAGCCATGTTTACCAGCTCGTCTTCCGCGACGTGCAGATCAAAGTGGTTCCCCTTCAGAGTCTTCACGGAGATCTTCATGGTGTGCCGATCCAAAACCCCCGAGCTCGGACGCGGACGCACGCAACAATCTGCGACCGCCGATGATGGATCCCCACCTCTAGAACCACAACAGAACACACAATTGGCTGCGATGATGATGTCCCCTGCTTCGCAAGCCCTAGCGCTCCCCACACACTCAATTAGTTCCCGGAGCAGCACACAAGAGGGAAGACGAGAGAGAGCGCCTTGCCTTCCTTCCTTCATTGCGTTGCGATCCGTTGCCGACTCGGTCAGACGCTCGTTCGTTCGTTCGCCATGCTTGCGCAGTGAGTGGTTTGGTTTCTTTCATCTCTGCCCGGATCCTGGCTGCCCGCGCCTTGTGGCGTCCCACCCGACGTCGCTCGGCTCGGCAGCGCTGGCTGCCAAGTGAAAGGGCCTTGGTGCAGCATTGTCTTGCCGCGGCTCCCGCCCCCTGGGGCACACAACCCCTGGCTTTGGCTTCTTGCATGTCTTTGGAAACTTTAAGTTGACGTGTTCTTTATATTTATTTGTTTATTTACTAATTTATTTACATAATCCTTTCTCTTGTGTGGTTTTTCAAATGGATCATGTCATTGTAACTTTCATATTGACCAACTTCATCAACATTAAGAATGAGTAAGCATCCTTGAAAACCTTGTTTTTCACAGAAATTTTAATACACTGAACATAATATAATATGAAATTTTCACTTGTGAATTTTTTTTTAAACCAAAATAAAAGGAAAATCTACAACATAAACATAAAAATTTTACAATACAAAGATTAATAGTATAGAATTAATAGTAGCTTTAAGTTACTTTAATAATAATAATAATAATAATAATTAGATGTTAATACATATTTTGCACTCATTATCTAAAAGTAATTACAAGATAGTTAGATAAAATAATTTTAACTATTTGGTGGTGTATATAAAAAGAGATGAATAAAAAATTAAAAAAACATTCATATAATGAATATCCATGATCATCTAATTGCAAAGATTATCAATAAAATGATTGTTTGTTATTTATGATTTTGAAGAATGTTAAATATATCCATCATTTTAGTAAATTTATCCATCTTATTTTAATCATTATGAAAAACATGATGATTCCCAACCTTTGCACAGTCTGATCCCTCCATTCCCAATTCTTACTCCAATCCCTAGTTTCCACTTAGAAGTTTTGTATTGCAAAGCAAGAAGGTTGATACAAACTTGTGTGTTTGACCACATGGTGTGATAAAGCTATAACAAAGGAATGGTGGAGAAAAAGAGGGGAGACAAGATTCTTTGAGAAATATATGGATCATGCCTTCCAAATTGTTTTTGTGAAGGCCCAATACCAAATTCTCGATGTTATGAATCAAGGCATTTATTATAAGCACAATAGATTATTAGGTTGAGTAATTTTCTAGTTTAAAGTGGATATGTATTTCATGTGGTTTCAATATACCTACAATAACTAAACAATTGGTTGACCAAAGTAATTAATCATCCACAACAAACTCTAAACCACCACTAACTTAAGCAATTTGAATGAAAGTATACATGTTTTTTCTTGTCAATATCAATGGAATAATTGGTTGTATTTTTTATGTTAGAGCGAGCAATGAATGATTTCAATGTTTCTTTGAAGCAATTGTGAATAAGATGCAATAACACAATTGTGCATTCCTTATTGACACACACCTTTTGGTGCAATATCACAACACCTTTGAATAATTTGGAGTCCTTTCTTTTATTAATTGACAACTTCATACTATAACAAAATGTTGATCAAAATTTATTACTGCAAAAATTAAAATGAAATTTAAATATACTCAAATACATGCCTTATTGATCAAATATAGTAACTATAATAGTAAATTTTAAGAATATTCTTTTTTACACTCTTGTGTCACTGAAAAGAACAGTTTGTCACTGAGAGATATTACACAATTGAAATAGAATTGCTATTTCTAAAGAGAAGAAGATGAGAAAGTCCTAGAATAATACTAAAATCTAAAGACGCCTTGTCAAGTGTGGGGAAGGCTTCATTTTTACCTCTATATATACTCTTTAACTAAGAGCTACATGGCGATATTATATAGGACCTCGAATATATGTTGACTTTGTTAGCCACATGTCTGAACTTGCAAGATATGTTATTTTAATTATGTGCCACATAGCGTTTGTTTCATAAGCTACTATATGGAATTAACTTGTTGGCCTAGTTTCTAACCTACAAATACATCTAAAGTCAAAATCGCATGTACAAAAGTTTTTAAGAAGCTTTTGTAGAAGACTTTTTGTAATTAATCTAGATTCACATACTTCTAGTTAATTATATAAGTAACTATTGAAGTAAATGTATACATCGATGATATCACCACCTCTTTCTGGGCACAAGTTCTATAAAGAGTAATCTTGATATGTTAACGAAGTCCAAGATGCGGCAATTGATATTTGCAATATACTCTAATCTTTGCTCTCTTTGAAGATGGTTGATAGGCCATCTCAGCCATCGATAGTATCTCATACCAAGACAAGAAGATTATCGTATTATTTGCTTGTTATTCAGGCCTTTGTAACTTCTTTCAAATAAAACATTTAGAACACTAGTAGAAGTTATTTCTATCCCTAATAAAATCACAAAACATTGAAAGTTTCTTCCAAGGTCGTAATACTAAACACATTGTAGCTTGCCATCTATTCGAGGAAGGACATGTTATTCTTCAGAATCTTCATCTCGATTTTATCATCTTGAAGGTTGTAACTATCACAATATCTTGTTTGATAAGTCCTCAAATCAAAGCTCTTGAGTTGAATCTGTTGGTTGTTAGTTCTCCATCTCTTTTGTGTTACAAATACACAGAAGCTACAAATAAAGATAAAAGATAGAATGTTATCTTCTTTTGATCTTATTTCTTTTATAACAAAGATTTGTTATTCTTCATCTTGGTTTTGGTAGATTTTGTGGATGAAAGGCATCAACTTTCTTTATTGTATTTGCAAGATTTTTTAATAGCTCCCATGTACATTCACTAATATCATATTTGTACCAATGAATAAGATATTTCAACATATTTTGGCACTGCCTTGAGTCTAAGACTTCTTCCACTTCAAACTCTTGATTATTATTTACTTCTATAAAAGAATGTGGCATTTGTCTTCTTCCTAAGATATTCACTGTCTTATACGGCTTAAGAAGGGACATATGAAATACAGAGTGAAATTCCATAGACTCCAATAGATGTAATTGATAAGTAACATGATTGATTTGTTCACAAATAGGAAAAGGTGATAGCCTACAATAGTCTAACTTATCACAAAGACGGATAGTCTTGATATTGTGACAAAGTAACCATATCTTATCACCTATGTTGAATTAAGGTTATTACTTGCAATAGGCATCCACATTGGTCTTTTTTCATTCTTGAGTTTTTTTTTTTTAATTATATCTTCATTGTTACATGTAACTCTAACCAACGATTTGCTAAATCTTCCGCCACAAGATTATCAACTTTTGAAAAGTCAAAAGTACCAAGTCATGGATGATAACCATAATTGATAAAGAAAGATGTTTGTTGATTAAAAGAATGTACCAAATTATTATATGCAAACTCTGCCAATGACAAAAGAGTTGTTCAATCATCTTGATGATAGTTGATGGTACACCTCAAATACTGCTCCAAAACTTAATTCACCAGTTTTGTTTGCCTATCAATTTGAGGATGAAAAGCCAAAGAAAGCTTTATATGTACTTTTAGAATCTTGAATAGGATTTTCCAAAGTCTTGATACAATTGAATCCCCTATCTGATATAATATCATTTGGTAATCCATAATAGCGATAGATATTGTCAATGAAAAGCTTAATTATTTCTTCACCTGAAATAGATTTTATACATGGTAAAAAATATATTATTTTAGTAAAGCAATCTATAATTATAAATATAGAGTCATATAAACTTGAACTTGAAAGATTTGGATTAAAATCCATAGAAACAAAAGACCATGATTATTCTGGAATTGGTAATGGTTGAAAAAGTCCATAAGGTCGATGGCGAGGAGTTTAGGATCTTGAATAAATATCACATGATTGTACAAAGTCTTTGATTGCCTTCCACATTTGAGACCACTAAAAATCTCTTGATATTAGCTCCAAAGTCTTATTATATCCAAAATATTTGGGGGCTGAAAAATCATGAGAAGTTTGAAGGACACGTAATCATGCCTTGCCTTTTGGAATATATAGGTAAACTTTGAAATATAGTAGGTTGTTTTTGAATTCAAACTTTGAAGTGTCATAGTACTTAGAAGAAGTATTCTTAATATCATGAACAAGAGGATCAGAGGACATACTTGATTGAATTTGCTTAATAAAGATTGAATTAATAGTCAATGTTGATTTTATTGCTCAAAGATAAAAATGCTCGGACTTCAAGAGAATCATTCTTTGTTGATCAAAAGTTACATCTCTTTCTTTTGGTGTAAAATAAGAATGTCTAAAAAGGACGTCTGGTAGACCTTATTGTATTTTGAGTTGATAAGTAAACTTAAAATTGAATCTAAATAAAGACATGCTCCAACAAGCTTAACGACTATTCAAAACATGTGTTGACATGAAGTACTTAAGGTTCTTATGATCTATATACATGATGACTGGACTTGAGGTGCTTTCTAGATAATGATGCCATTCTTGAAATGAATCCATGATTGCAAGGTGCTCTTTGATATAGATCACATAATTAATCTCGGATGCTAAAAATTTTCTAGAATGGAAAGCTACAACACCCATAATAAAGTCTAATGCATCTGTTTCCATAAAAAATGTCTTAGAAAAGTCGACACAATATAAGATTGATACAAAAGTAAATTTCTTCTTTAAAGCATCAAATGATACTTTTGCTTCTTTATTCCTCTCAAATTTGTCTTTATAAGTCAATCATATAAGTGGACCTTCAACTTGAAAAAAGTTCTTAATGAAGATTTGGTAGTAATTAGCAAAGTTCAAAAAGAATTGCATATCTTATATTATTCTTGAAATCTTTCAATCTATAATAGTTTGGACCTTCTTAAAATCCATCATAAGGCTTTTGTTGGAAATGATGTATTCTAAAAAGTCAACTTGAGTAATATAAAATACATACTTTTTTAATTTGTCATATAATCCTCCATCTCTAAGTTTTTGTAATACGCAACGAACATGGTGTTTATATTCTTCCGTCTTCTTAGAGTA